GATCACCCTAACGTCAGGAGAACGTCCTTTTGTCTCTATGGAGTTCGATCTCTGTATATTTGGGGGCTTCATCAAAAGGGAGGTTTGTGATAGACTTGCTTGTTTCTCACATCAAACTCAGAAATTGCCTGATTGAAAGCACAACTTCCCTTCCTCTTTTCACTTGTCATTTCTGAAACTTTTTTTTTCAAAAAAGTGTTAAAATGAATGGAGTAACACATTGCCATGTTGTAATAATATTTTAGGTAGACAGAAGTGCCTGCTAGTAGAGAGACAAAGACATACCTACTGTCTATGAAAATGGAAAAGAGGGATTGATGTTGCTTCTGGTCTCGATCCATCTGATCTTATCTAATTTAACATGTTAAGCAGTTTGAGTTTTGTAATTGATCTAATGGGGAACCAGTGCAGACATTGTGTTATTCTACACTATTCTGTTATCACAATAGTGTGCTTTTCATGTCTTTTATTTTAAAAGATTTCGCATATTTGAAGTCTTGCCTAGTGGCCAAACCCTACTGTTCCATGGCTCTGGAAACACAAGCTCACCTCCTGCTCCTGGTATCCAACTCCCTCCAGCTTTAATTAATACCATACAATAAAATTCCTTCTCTCTAGCCAAACCACCATCCACTATAATCTTGTCAGCTCTTATAAGCCAAACAGAAAGCCACACTTTTTCTCATTCAATTGCCTGCATCTGATATTTAATTTCCAAAGGAACCTGATCGTGCTATACTGTGTTCCTCTTCTCTCCCTTCTGTTTATTTCCTTTTCATACTTTTTTTTTTCCACAAAAAACCATAGGTAACAAGCTCTTTGAACACTGAAGATTCTAATGGCAGATGCTTAGTTCCTGACAATCTACTTCTCCAGGGAAGAATTGATAAAGCTAACTCTCGCTGCTTAACAGAGAGGGACTTTACCTTTCCCCAAAGCAAAAGTTAAGAACAGACATGTTCTCAACCTTTTGCGCGCGTGCGCACACGCGCGTGTGTATGTGTGTGTGTGTGTGTGTGTGTGTGTGTGTGTGTGTGTGTATCGGTTGGTCATGGGGCCTAAACTCTAGGCCTGGATGCTGTTCCTCAGCTCTTTAGCTCAAGGCCTGCGCTCTACCACTTGAGCCACAGTGCCACTTCCAGCTTTTTCTGCTTATGAGGGGCTGAGGAATTGAATCCAGGACCTCATGCATACAAGGAAAGCACTCTACTACTAAGCCACCTTCCCAGCCCTCTCAATCATTCTCACACATATGTGGCAGGAAGCATTGCTTCAAAGTCTTGGAGTTAAATTTGAATGCTACTCTTGCTTTCTTACTCCTGACATGTGCAAAGGATTGTATGTCACAAGTTGCTGTGCTTAGTGCTAACCTCTGCTTAAAGACTATACTTATGAGCCTGGTGCTGGTGGCTCACAACCATAATCCTAGCTACTCAGGAGGCTGAGATCTGAGGTTTGAAGCTAGATGGGACAGGAAAGTTTATGAGACTCTTGTCTTCAATTAACCACCAGAAAACTGGAAGTAGAGCTATGGCTCAAAGCGGTAGAGCACTATCCTTGAGCAGAAAAGCTCAAGGATAGCACATAGGCCCTGAGTTCAAGCCCCATGATGGGCGGGCGGGGGGGGGGGCGGGGGAAGCACTCACAGGCCATTTTGGTAAAGACCTGTCGTGTGTGTGTGTGCGCGCGTGTGTGCTCACGCATGCATGTGCATGCACGTATGCATATGACAGCATTGTGCTGTAAAAGTGCTATAAAAAAATCACCCCCTAACTCTGTAACCATTGCTCATATTTGCAAAACTCATGTCTTGCTGACAGAGTACTCTAACTTCAGACATTACTCACAGTACCACTCTGGCTTTTGGAAGTTAATTGGAGACAAGGGTCTTGTGTACTTTCCTATCCAGTTGGCTTTGAATTTTGATCCTTAGCTCTCAGCCTCCTGAGTAGCTAGGATTACAAGCATGAGCCATATTGCCTAGCCTTCATGTGTTGTTTATGGTGTTAAAACCATGATAGTGAATCATTCTTTAGTTCCTTGCAAACATTCTGGTTCTTTAGCAGTAGAGTTGGTTTTTTTCCCTTTATTTTTCCACTACATATATATATATATATATATATATATATATATATATATATATATGTATATATATATAATGTTCTCTGAGAAAGTAATGGGGAAAAATCCTGTATTTTCCTTGTAGAAGTAAAATTACTGTTGAGAACCTTTAAATTCTCTGGCTCTCATGTGAGTGGAATTTCTCTAATGCAGCATTCATGGGGGTTTGCACTGAATTGCTTTTTGGGGTTTGATTTGCCTTTTAGAGAAGCTGATGTTTGACTGCATGTTCAAACATGGCATGTATTCTTATGAGCGATGTGAGATTCAAATAAACACAACGAGTGTGTTCATTTTGATGACCTCCCCATCACACATTCAAATAAACACAAATGTTCTCAAATGTATAAAAGCAGCTGTGTTTATGTCAATGTGCAAAGCACCAGATATATACATTCAGATTCACTCGTCTATCTGGAACCATGTACCTCCGCTCATAGTTTAAAATTTTAGTGGAAAATCACGCATGGGGTATATGCAATGTGCAATTTTCAACCATACACTCATCTCTAAACAAATTTTCTTCAAGCATGTTACTGACATTTGCTGTAATTAGGGATGAAGCCTGGAGAAACTTTGAAGTTTCTGAAAACAAAACAAAGCCAAATGTAAGTTGCTACTAGGGGGCATAGCATATCTAAAATATTCTGGCAGGACCAGCAAGTCGCCTTCTCCAGGGTTCAGAACAACCTTCTAGGCCTTGCTTCTCCCCTTTCCTCCCTTTCTCTTTCCTCTCATCCTTTCATCTTGTTTTTCCCTTCTCTCCTTTTCTTTCCCTTCTCTCCTTCTTAGTCTGTGTCTTGCTCTGTTCTTTAGTTGAAGCAAAATGAAGCAAAGTTCTACCCCCTCCTGCTCCTTTCTTCTTTTCGTAGCAAAGCCTTGCAACATGGCAACCTGATTCTGTTTTTTTTTGTTGTTGTTGTTATTTGCTTTAAATATAAACCTCAGACATGACACACCTATTCGTCACGTTTAAGTTGGAGCAGCTCAGTCATCAATGCTACTTTAAGCTTTGCTTTCTGTGTGAGCATTAACTCTGGCTCTGTAGGACATACTAAAGCAACCCCTCCATCTTGGATTTCTTTTTTTGTCAAATTTAAGTATACTTTGAGGTTTCTAGGAAAATTGGCAGCCTCTACTTAATGGAAGACAGTAGTAAGTAGAATAAAAATATCACCTAAGCTTGACTGAGATCTACCTATAAGCCACATGTACTGTTCTAAACATTTAATTCTCAGCTCTGTTCTAAGGCAGGTACTGGTGAATACTTAACCTAGGAGGGTAAAGAAGGCACTTTTTTAACATCACCGAGGTAGTTGGTGCTGAAACCACTTGGGCATACAGGTTCCAGACTTTTTTAGCTCTTAAAAGTATCCATAAATTCAAACATTTATAGGTATCCCAATTTTTAAGTGTTAGCAAAATTTTTTTAATTTTTAAACAAAACTGTCAGCTAAACAAAACACATCTGGTACCTGGATTTAAGCCCTTGGGCTGCCAGTTTGCCTCCTTTGATTTAAGGGATACTGTTTCTAGTTTTTGAATGTGACAAAACCTACTAAGTAGGAGCTGGAAGTGGAGAACTCATATTCACATCTGAATTCTATCAATTTCTGGTTAAATGACATCAAACAAGTTGCTTACATTCTCTTGAGTTTTTCTTTTCTTCACTTAATTCTGTCTGAGGAGAGGTAGTCTGAGAATATGCCAACCTGATAGCTCTGGTGTCATATTTATGTGAAAGCACTTTATAAATATAGGCATTAGATCATTAGTACATCTGAACATGAACAGTAGTTGGTAGACACTTCCTGAGAGTAAGGCATTCTGCCAACCTGTTGACCTGCAAAGTTCAACAGCCCTGGCTAGTAGCATCAGCCCCATTTTATAGATGAAGACTCCTGACAACCCAGAGGTTAAGGACATTTTCCAAAGATGCAACACAAGTAAGAAGTGAAGCTAAAACTCACAGGGGTTTATTTTATTACAATTTTACTGGGAACCTGTTTGTAAGGCTTGTCAAATGTAAGTTTAAGGTCCTGCTAGGGTACCTGCTCATGTGCTGATAATGGGGCTAGAACAAGGGGCCTTGTGCTCTCCCCTGACTTTTTAACTCCCTTGACTTTTTAACTTTTTACCTTTTTAGCTCTACCTGCTCTACCACTCAAACCATAACTCAACGTTTGGCTTTTTGCTAGTTGGTAAGAGAAGGGGACTTTCCCTGCCTGGGCTGGCTTTGAACCATGATGTTCTGAACAGGATTACAGATGTGAGCCACCAGTGCCCCACAGGTCATGCTGTTTTTCTAAGTTTAAGGCCAGTAACTATTGATGAATGAATACAAGAAATACAAGCAATAACAGAGCTAGTCTGACCCCATAGAAGACATTTCTCAATGCCAGACAAAGGGTATTCCATGACTAAGAAAGGGAGTTCTGACATTCTTCTCCTCTTCCTCTTGAAGGGCAAGCCTCAGGAGACCAGGCCCTGTCCTGCCGTAGGCCACTTTGTGTGCAGTTGCACAGTAGAGACCTCCCTACTGAGACAGCTTTGTGACTGAATTCCAGTCGGCCATTTGCTTTATAAACCTTTTGCCTATGGATAAAAGCCACATCTACAAGTACCTTCTTCAGATTGAAGGTGATGTTGGGAAGCCCTCTTCAGCCTTGTTTCTTGATGTTGGTTTCAGTTGGTTAGAACTTGGGCAAGGCAGAAGTGGTACCTCACAGTCCACTAAAGCTAAGTTACAGGTTGAAGGGAGAGAAGAAGGGAAGCTCTTACTGGTCTTCAGCTTTGGCAATCTCTGAGCACTGTACCTTCCAGACCACCAAATAGAGAAGTGTGAAGTTTCTCTTTTACCCTTAGAACTAAAAGATACTCCATTTCTTCAGGATAACCCAAGCCAAGCAGCCTGCCGTCACCTGAGAGAAAGTATCTTGGCGCTTTGTAAAAGTCATTTCACTGTGGTGAGTCTCCTTTAGGGTGAAAACTTTACATTCTATGGGACTCTTTCTATGCCTTTCAGTGACCCATGGGGGAGGGGCAGCTCCTCCTGTAGCCAATTTCTGTTACAGCTCCAGCCTTAATTCTCTTCTAGTCATTAAAGAGGGAAGAAATTTAACATGGCGGGTGTAACAAATACCCAGCCCCATGGAATTGTAGGATAGATGATTTCCCCAGTAGATTCAACAGTGGTAATGAGAACAATAATCAATACAAATTAGGGACATGCTTCTGTTTTAATGCACTTAGTAACCAGATCTCTTGTCCTCAAATAAGTCCAAAGGAGAGAATTGTGTGCTTCTAAGCGACCTCAGTGCTGTTGTGAAGGAGGTGTGTGTGTGTGTGTGTGTGTGTGTGTGTGTGTGTGTGTGTGTGTGAGAGTGTGTGTTCCCTTTTCTCTTAGGGATTCTATAGCTTCCTTCATTCTTCGCCTCTCTCATATTACAGAAAGAAGGTAATTTTTCCTGGCCATTTACTAAAGCTCATTAAAGAGTGGAGAGAACAAACAATGCTACTCCTTAGAGACTACCATTCAAAGTCACTCTACAATTCTCTGTTCTAATACTTGAGACAAATTAATTATTCCTTAGTGAAAAGTGTATAATTCCTATTCTTCATTTTTTTGGGGGGTGGGGAATAATAATGGGAAGTTTATATCTGAGTGAAAAGCTGTCTGTGCTGAAGGGAAATGAGAAAAAAATGTGTGTTCTGAGAGGAGTGAAAGCAATTATTCTAATAATAATTCCAAGAATATTAATGTCTTTTTAAAGTAGATTGCCTCCCAATAAACAGAGAGGTTGCAGCAATGGGAGGCTGGTTTATTTATTAATTATTCCAAATGTGCATTCTTCTAAATGAACAACTGCCCGATCAACTTGGCTGGCATATATTACATTTAGATACACAGCAACTTGCAAATGTCTCAAAACTTTTGTAACCAGAGACTAATTTGTTTAACACATTTAAAATGTTATATTGATGTAAAGCCCTACATATTAAACTTCAAAGGGAAAAGCTCTGGAGAGTTTCTTGTTGTAAAGACTGCATGTTAGAAATGAGACAGAGACAAGCCTCTTTCTCCCATTCTTCTGTTTTGCTTTGTTTTGTTTTGTTTTTAAAACACAAGGCGGTCTCTGAGCCCAGGCCCTCATCTTCTGTGCTGTGTTTGGTTATCTGCAGAACAGCAAGTATCTCACAGCAGAGCCTGTAAGGCAATGGTTAAGAAAGGTCTAGTGTTTCCCTTTCATCTCTATTAATTAATCCTGGCTCCGTTGGCCCAGAGTACGTTGCTGTTGACATCACCTTTTCCTTACACTTTAAAGAGTCCCAAGAGAGACGACTGCAGAACAAAACTGGACAAAGAGTACATTTGGTAACCATTTTATTTCTCAATTACCAACCTAAACGTATGGAAAAGATTTGCTTGCTATCCGATTTACACAACAATTATGCTTCAAAAGTTTAGAAATAAATAACTTTTTGCTTGGACTCATTAGTTCCTCTACCAATTGTAATTGGTGTCAACTAACGAGTTTGCTCCATGGCTTGCCCTTAATTACTGATAAAAGCTAACTTGCAACTGTAGCCAATCAGAAACTAGTTTATTCATGAGAGTATAGTATTCTTTTAAAAGCTCTGTTTGTCCTAATAAGTGGTTCTGTGTTTGGCTGAAATCTTCTACAAGCCCCCTTAACATAAGCAAAAGACTCTTATTAACTATATACAGTGAAGGAATATCATTACTGCTTCTATTCAAACAGACAAAACAAAGGAAACGTGTTATAAATTTCAAATGTATACATCATGAACTTACCAGGCCCTGAAATCCCATCCATTTGATGGAAAATAGATATTAGTATACATAAGACTGATATTGAGAATTTGTATTCTTTTCCAATATTTAGATTTTTTTTAAATAAAAAGTGTCCCAGCCTTCTGAAAAGCAGTAATCAACAAGAAGAATCCCAACAGAGGGATGTTAAACCCTAATGGTCTAAACAAGGATTGGCAGAGGCCAAAATCCCACATTAAAAGTAATAGGCATTCTGGAAACAAGAGTGTTAAGAGATAGCACGTGGTGGAATCATGCTGAGAGGGGGCCTGGGGACTGGGAAAGCCTAATTGCAGAAACATCATCCTAAAGACACTCCGCTTTGTTGTTGTTTTCAGAAAAGAAAACCTCTTCAAGACTATGGGAATTTCTGAAGACGGATTTTTCCTTTATAATGATTAAAAATAGTTTGGGCTGCAATGATCAGAAAATCTCTTGAAAAGGGTCTAGAAGAACAGGGTATAGTTCTATCTTTTTCACATCCTGAGAAGAGATTGGAAGTTACTAGTTTGATGAATTCAGGCACTGATCAACAGCATTAAAGTTTCAAGTCCTTACTGTCTTTCTAATCCCCTAACTCCAATGTGTTGGTGACTGCCTTTGTAGTCACCAGATGGGTGAGGCAGGAGGTCTAGGCATCTTATCCTCATCTAAAGGCAGAAAGGAGGCTCTATCTATGACTGCTTTGCTTGTTTTAATAAAGAACAAGGAAATAACCTTTCCTTCTTAGAATGAGATCATACACCTACCTCTAAATTAATTACTAGTATTGACTGTCTCAGGTTCAACGCATGCCTACTTCACCTCTCTAGAGGCTGTGAAGGAACCCAGGTTTCTGGAATGTGCTTGGCACTTCGGTACTTATCAAAGCCAAGGTTCTATTAAGAGCAGAAAAGAAGATTTGCTGCAAAGGTAAACAACAATGTCTGAAATTATTCTTGCAAGGTAAGCATTCCCAGTGTCATCAGTCAAAAGTGAAGGATCAATGCAAGCTTGAATTCAGAAGACAAAGCTGAGTATGGGGTTCAGTCTGCTCTCGCTTCTCACCCTGGCCCTCTTGACCAGCAACCCCTGCACCTAAGGGGATCGTGTTGTGAACCACATCCTGACTCTGCAGCCAACTTGCTGTGTGGTTCCTACTAAATCGTGGGCCTCTGTGCCCCTTCTTGACCATACTTAAAATGAGGAGGTCCCACCAGAGACTCTTTAATATTTGATTGATTTCACCTTTACTTTCCCAAATCTCTTTTATCCAACATCTCTTTTATCTCTTTACTTCCTGATGACATGGAATACAGTTCAAATTCTTCTTTCTTTAGATATTTCTTACCTTTTAACCCTTTCTTCTCAGACTGATTCAAAGATTCCAGTGGACAAGATATCTCTGGTTTACAGGACCTTGCGTTCATTGAGCCATCTTTTATGGAGGGCCCAATCTGTGCTGCACACTGTGTGAAGCGCTTTGTCCACACAATAGCCAGGTCATGATTTCCTTATTGGTTTGACTCCAACAGCTTTTCATGCCTTCGGATTTTATTAATAGAGACAGCATAGCATTCTTGAGGTAGAGGTATTACATGATATGTTTTCTATTTTTGTGAAGTTGAGGCCAGGCCTTGTCCCTGCAATTTCTGTGACTAAGGTAGTACTTTCAGCTTCCTAATACCACCCATTCTTTTTTCTTTTTTTTTTTTTTTTGTCCTGTTACTGGGGCTTGAACTTAGGGTCTCATATTGTATCTAACATTGGGGGGGGAGGGGGAGCAGTCATTGAGCCAGCCCTTGAACTCTGGGCCTAGATGCTGTCTCTAACCTCCTTTTGCTCAAGGCTAGCACTCTACCACTTGAGCTACTGGCTTTTTTCTGTGATTAATTGGAGGCAAGAGTCTCCTGGACTTTCCTGTTCAGGTGGACTTCAAATGATTACAATCCTTAGATCTCAGCCTCCTGAATAGCTAGGATTATAGGTGTGAGCCACCAGGGCCTGGTGCAATTATCATACATGGCAGCAGATGTAAAAGGAAGTAGAAGAGTCTAGTTCCCATAAACTCCTTGGTCCTGGAGACAATTGACAATGGAATGTTTAAATTTGAAGAATTTCAGGTGCCCGTGGCTCACGCCTGTGATCCTAAGCTGAGGAGGCTGAGATCTGAGGATCATGGTTCAAAGTCTGCCTGGGCAGGAAAGACCATGAGACTCTCTCTCTCTCTCTCTCTCTCTCTCTCTCTCTCTCTCTCACACACACACACACACACACACACATACACAGCCAGAAGTGGTGTCGTAGCTCAAGCAATAGAGCATTGTGAGCAAAAATGCTTGGGGACAGCACCCAGACCCTGAATTGGAGCCCAGCCTGAGGACTGGCGCACACACACAAACTAATAAAGAACTTTATAAGGCAAATGAAAGGATTTTTTATCAGAGGAGCAGAAACCTAGAGACAAATTTTAAGGACCATATCAAGAATTCTTTTATGTGCCTTTCAAAAAACTCTCTAGCATCATTGCTTTTTCTTAAAACTTGGTCAGTAGTACTGTTGAGCTTTTATACATGTGATCAAACTTTGTTTACTTTTCCAAGGTTGACATGCAGGTGGCTCTAATGTTTTACAGGGAAATATCTGTGTCGTTTATTTCCTTTTTTCACTTGACAGCATCTTTATTTAGTTTTAGAAGTCTTTGGTGCATGGAACTTCTTGAAGATGGAAATGATTACTTTGCAATTAATGGCATACACACATTTGGCATTTGGTTCATCCTGGGATCAACAACATTAGCAAGAAGAGCACTGCCCCCTTGTACCACACATGCCCAAAGCAATACCAGCTCTAACTTTGAAAACTTTATGTAACAGTAAAAACTACTGTGGCAGATACTGCTTTATTACCTAGCTAGCAATCATTTCCCATGCCCTTCTTCTCCGCTAACCCTCAAACCTTGGTTTGTTCCAAAGCAAAAGATGCATTGATTCCAGGAAGGGTATTTGGCTCCTTCAGTCCATGAGACCACAATTGGTCTAAGGCTGAGCATATAAGCTGCTTTACTTAATGTGAAATAAGAGAAAAGGAATCTGAGGGGTACTAGCCTTTCCCAGTAAAATGATCTTGATAAATCAATGATTTCATTTCAATTATCATCTTACTTTCTTGGTAGCACTCACAGAATTGTTTTAGTTTAGTTTTGTTTTGTTTTCTCAGTACTGAGATTTGAACTCACTGAACCAAATGCCTTTAGATCCTTTCTGCTTTAGGTTATTTTTCAGAGCATATTAGGCTACTCCAGTGCTCTAGCATTGGCTATCTATCTATCTAAATGCATTCTATATCGTCTCATTTGTGACTATAATACCTTCTCTTTATTAATGATTTTCAAAGTTATTTCTACAGCCTGGACCTTTCCCGTGAGCTCCAGACTTATGAATCGAACTGCTTTTCAACTTGAATGTTCAATGGGGATCTTAATCTTACTGGTTTTGGGCCTTCCTCCAATCTTTCTATCCTAGACTTCCCAATTCAGAAAAGGTACAACTAGGGACTGGGAAGTTGGCTCAGTGGTAGAGTGCTTGCCTTGCATGCCTGAGGCCCTGGGTTCCATTCCTCAGCACCACATAAGCAAAAAAGAAAAAAAAAAAGCCGGAAGTGGCGCTGCGGCTCAAGTGGTAGAGCGCTAGCCTTGAGCTGAAGAGCTGAGGGACAATGCTCAGGCCCAGAGTTCAGGCCCCGCAACTGGACCAAAAAAAAAAAAAACGAAAAGGTACAACTACAGTTTACTTGCTCATATCAGGAAACTAGAGATCATCTTGATTCTGTTCTCTTCCTCTCGCTTTCAATACAGGCAACAACATATCTATCTATCTATCATTTTATACCTCTCATCACCTTGACCTTTGCCCTGGTGCACAGTGACTTCCTCTCTCACATAGACTACCACAGTGATGTCTTTAGGACTCTCACACTTTCATGTGTACCTACTGGGTCAGGTACAATTAGTTTGAGTTCTCCATAAAAATAAAATCAACAGAGATTTTTAAAAAGGTAAATTTCTCTTTCACATCAATTTGAACATCATTATTCGAGTGTTGTTTTGGCACTACTTCATGATAACCTCTGTCTTCCAGTTGTCATCTGTCAGATCTTTCATGCTGAACATAAAAGCTCATCTTCAGGGTCATCTTATCACTAACCTTTAATCACTAGGTCCACAAGTCAGATCCAAAGAGAATAGAAGACGAGAAAGAGCTGTAGGAATCTTGAAATACTTGCTAAGAAGTGTATCTACATTTCCCTATGCCTTTTAATGATTGAGTATGACTTTTAACCCCAGGTATTTATTTATTTTATTTTATTTGTCACATAGTCCATGGAGGAAAGTTAAGGAATGCAGTCTTTTACTCCTGGAGTCAATACACAGCTTAAACTGGAGTTATATGTTTAAGAAGGATGAAATAGATCCAGGGGCAGATTTGTAGCTATTTCTTCCATGCATATCTTTTGTCAATTTTCCCCAAGGGCCAGTTAATTTAAAAAAAAAATTAAATCCGATTATGACCCATCCTGCTAAATACCCTGCAATGGCTTCCCATTGGGCTCAGATTAAAATTTAATGGTTCTGTCTCTCCAACATCCTTCGTCACCCTGCTGCTTTTTTCTGTTCTAGTAACACCAGCTTATGCTGAGTGTGCCAATCTCATTCCTACCAAAACTCTTTGCTTTTGCTCTCTGTCATCTGAAATACATGTCTTTCAAATCTCGGCAGAATTTGTCCCCTCACTTTACCCAAGTACAGCCTTGTCCTATGTCTTGATTTACTCTTTAACATAATAAGTATAGGCCTAGTATAAGACTTCTTTAGAGCATAGACAACCTTACATATAGAATATATGAACAAATCATATTAAACGTAACATTCACAGTTTGCATGTTCCCATGTAAAAGAATTTAATTACAATTGTCAACTCAGTCACTCATCTCTCGTAGATGTTTACTTGGATATTTATTAGTTTCATCTTTGTTACTTTTGTTTTGGTACTTTTGAGCTCAAAATCTTCTTTGTACCCAGCATTTTGATGTAGAACTTAGTGGTAACAGAGGCATCCCAGATTATCAATCTCCCCCAATGCAGTCAAGTTGTTTTGGCTATACAAGCTCTTCATGAAAGATTATTAACAAAAAACTTACAATAAATGTTACTTCAAATATGGCACTCCAGTAATGTCACAAGTGTTTAGAATAGGTTTCTCACCCTTGTCTATATGGCTATTTTGGAAAGAGAATTGTTTGTTGTAGGGCATTTCCCCCTGCCTCCCTGTTAGACGTTTATCAGCATCTCCAGCCTTCACCCCACAGCTGCCAGGACTAAACACCAATCCTCCAGCTGTGACAGCCAAGAGTATTCCCACACATTAGCAAACGTCAAAAG